AAAAAAAAAACACTGAAAATAACTAAATGATGCCTGATGCCTTCCTAGGGAACCTTATCAAATTAATTATTTAGTCCTATGTACCCTGCACAAGTCCTTAGTTGTCAACCCCTCAGGCCAATAACAAATGCTTGACTATTTCCCTGAGTTTGTTCACATGAAGGGTCTCTGCCCGCTTTCCGCTTGGTCACGTTGTTCTGCTGCATTGTGCATCGCAGGCAGAACTCTTCACGACTAAGTTTCTACTAACCCTCACCTACAGGGGATTTTCCACCCTCGCGCTACGAGGGGAGATGGGGCTCAGAGGCCCCGCTAGAATCTCGAAAGCTAAGTGAGCTAGAATCCCAGGAAACATGGTACTGGAAAGTTTCGTCAAACATGATCAAAGATGTATGTCTGAACAATGTTGGTTGCGACCTTAGCATCTCAAAGAAGGTAACGTTCGTCGAATCATTGCTTTATAGAATCTCCTGTTACCTCTAAAGCTAAGCGTACTGCGACAACGTGAAAGACAGCTGAATAACTCTTGTAAAATTCTTCATCTAATTAAAAATTAAACAGGCACAAACGAATGACCAGAAAAATTAGGTAGGCACTAACATACATTGCTTGTGGCGGCCCAGGTCAGATCGAAGGGGTGGAGGTCGTCCAAGCATTGCCCACCCATTAACAACTAAGCAAACCACATCAATGAGAACACTGTCAGAAGAGCTTTTCAAATCTGTAAGATATGCTTCATTACACCTTAAATCCTAAGACCCTCAAAGGATCAAATGTTGTTTGAAAGGTTAAAGTTTCATCTAGTTTCACCTTGGATAGCACGTCTTTTACAGACCCAGCAAAACGACAGCGATGCATTTCATAGTGATGTAGTACAATTTTAGTCGACCAATTCTCTTTGGAGGACATTTCCAGCGCGGAAAAAGCGTCCCAACTTTTGAGCAAATTGTCGGCAGCACGGCTTCGCAAAATATGTCATAACCATGAACCGTGAAAGCCAGAAAGCGTAACTTCGATAACATGTAAAACAATTACTCATCGACGTCCACAAATTTGATCAGAAGATATTCCAGTAAAACCATGGGGAGGGAGGGGGGGGGGGGCGCCTCCGCGACCCCCTGCTCGTAAGCGAGGGTCATCCGCTTCTGTTGTAACTGAAGACACGTCTGACACGACACAGCATAATACGTCTGATATGACACGGAAGACGCTTCTGAAGTTCTTCTGAAGTATCACAGGAACAGAAAAGTTTGCACTACTTCAGCTATTTCGTCACTATAGGCAGTCTATGATAATTGAAATGTGAGACGCCCGCTGTCTTTCAAGGTACCTTTTGACAAAGGATGAGACATGGTATGAGTTTTGCGGACGGAGAACTTCTCTAGACTAGCGGCCTCATGTAGCATGTTAGTATACACGCAAAGTTTCGACCATTTAACTCTGCGGCCGTCGTCAAGTGTTTCTGAAATCCTGAGAAGGGCTTGATGACAGCTGGCTTTCAGGCATATACGCGTCCCAGCCCGATTCTCCCTTGGAGTTGCTGGGATTCGAACCAGGATCTTGTGATTGCGAGTGCAGGACTTTACCACCTGAGTTAGCCGGAAAGCACAGTCTTTCCGTTATGGAACTTGGTGTCATTTATCTCCTGGATACTGGGCGATTTTCCTGTATAATTAAAAGCCATATCGGGTATAGCCTATGATTAATGTACTGATGGATTTGTTATCCAATGGTACCTGTGCTGCCTCCTTGATCTTTCGAGCCTTCCAGTGTTGCTCTCCATCGATGATGGTCACCTCACTTCCTGTCAGTGGATGATCGGTGCCTGACCACGCGTGATCTGCCATGCCGGACTTCAGAGTCTCATCCCGGATGGTTGCCTTTCTCTGCTCGTCCATTCATACTGATAGAAGGCGACTTGTCTATCCGTTTTAGGACCTCACACAGCTAAGCGTGGTATACCGTATATGCAGTTCGTCGTGTCTTCTTAAGATGATGTTGGTCTGATATTGGTGAGTGTTTTCCGGAGCTGCTTCTGAAGACTGGCCTTATATTGTATCATTCACGGATTCTTCTAACCTTCTCTGGCAAGCTCTTGCCATATGCTAATGATACCGTTGTTGTTGGGCTTTACTCTGGCTGCCCTGCTTATCAAGCATACTCTTTGGGCTTCCGGTCCATAAAGCCTTTCAGATACCCGCCCCCGCAGAGCGTATCGGATAGGGAGTTGATTTCCCTCTTCCTGGTCGCATTATCATCGCTGATGGCATTTGCGCGATGATGAAGGCAACCAACAATGCCTTACTTTACTGTATCCGGGTGCTGTGACTGGAAGTTTTGGCGGCGATCGGCTGCTGCTGGTTTCTGGCACACCCATGCTCTAAGTCTGTTGTTGGTTCTCTCGACTTTACGTCTAGGAACGGCGGCCTGTTATTGTCTTCGCGTTCCATAGCGAACCGGATCGATGGTCGCAAGCTGTTGATGTGGTCCCGGAATACAGCCACGTCTTCGTGGTGTCGCCAGAGGACGAAATTGTCGTCGACGTATCGCAACCATACTGAGAGTTCCATTTGTGCTCTTTCTATCGCGGTGTCTTCGAAATGCTCGATGCTGGCAATCAGCAGTGAAGAGATGATCCTCTGACCATTCTCTCGGCTTGCTGATAGCATCGTTTGTTTAGCCGGAACTCGGTGGTTTTGATACGGAAGGCAAAAAGCTCATTGATGTTGTTCCAGGATGAATGGGTTGATGGCTTTTACCTTCAAGCGGCGTTCCTAAGGACACTGAAAGATATAGATATGTATCGTAAAAAATGATTGGCTCAAACCATGTTAGGTCCCGAGCTATAACGCCTTCTCTGGAGGCTTGCAGAGGCGTTTTTAATACGAACGTCGTTTTTGCCATGCAATGGCCGCGAATGCCACCTTTGAGGATGAAATTTGGATAAAATAAGACGTTGAGTATACTTGTCGATAATTTTACGATACGTTTTTTTTTAAACTGATGCCAATCTTGATAGGTCAATGACCCATTCAAGCAAAGCTCATGATCCATGATTCCTCTCTTGACTTCAGGCCTGTCTCAGGTGCATTCTTTATAACAAGCCTGACTTAGAGCAAGACGTGTTTATTTCGCTAGGAAAAAAAGTTCAATATCCGAAGCGATACTTCATGGAGAAACACCGGTTTTACCCAAACAGGCAAGCTGAACTTTGTTGGGTTCCACCATGGGGCATACAAAAGCATCATTTCTGCCAATATTACATCAGGCTAACCGCTTTTTGGGGTTATTGTTCTAACTCAGTTCGCGGCCGGATGACGAGTACCCGCTTTTTGGAGTCACGGTTCTAACTCAGTTTCGGGCCGAATGGCGAGAACCTGCTTTTTGGGTCATGGTTCTAACTCAGTTCGCGCCGAATGGCAAGAATCCGATTTTTGGGTCATGGTTCTAACTCAGTTCGCGGCCAGATGGCGAGGGAGCGCCAATGCCTTCACCATTTGTCCAGCTGATGGACTGAGCGTACTGCACGCTGTGGAACTAAGTGCAAGGGATATTTATTTTGTTTTTGCACCTACGTCTGCGGCCTTCATCAGCCAACACCTACTCGGTCACCGTGGAAATCGCGGTCACCGATGGGAGGCGCGGTCACCGATGGGAGGCGCGGTCGCCGATGGGGACGACCGAGGGTCCGTGGTGCAAAGAGCATTGAACGCCTATGCAGAACGTGTTTGTTCACGTATGCAACATTTTTACACAATCTCGTGTTTTCTTGTAAACTCTAAATGTGTTTCCCTGTTTATCTGCTCATGCAAATAGCTCACGCATTGTTTGCTCACTGCTAGCTGCTCGCCTTCTAGAAAGACATTGGAGGTGAGATGCATACACGTTCAACGTACTTTCCATCGTAACACTGACAAAAAATCATCACCCTCACCCATTCCGTTGACCTGAAGACCCCTAAATCGTCGGTTCCTGATCGCCAGCTGGTGCAGTTTGACCGCGCTCGAGCGGGCGTCAAGGTCAGGACGTTCTACGAGCGAGACCGCACCGTCAGCTACTTCAGCATAGAGAGGGCGTTACCCTCCGACTCTGGGGAGTACTTCTGTGACCCGGACGGTCTGGCCCAGGTCAAGGTGATTCTTCACGTGCTCAACGGTAAGGATGCAGCTGCCTTGTTGTCTTACGTATTTTCGTAATATGGATGCAGTTGTTGATGTTACCCATGTATAATGCAGACCGTCGCGACACATGAAGCAACTTACATGTGCAAACGCCGCTAGAAACATGAGGTGAAAGACCCCATATAAAGCCAATTGGCTCGTATTGACTCGTGCTGGAACTTGAATTCCTTTTGAGGCGTTCGTGACGCCAGCGCCTCTTCCCGGGAGCGCAGCCGGTGGCTGGATCCCTCGGACTGGTGTTGGCAGCGAGCCCCGCTGGCAGCCGCACAGCCAGCCAACAGCGGGCAGGTCCTATCCGTTCGCCCTCTCGCGACTCCTCGAGCTCATCACCGCTGAGCCTGAGCTCAAGCCGGCCCGGCGAGCCGCGTGAGCCGCCGTGTCCGCGCCAGCCGCGGCCACCTTTGACCGAGCAGCCCCGCTGATGTAAACGTCGGCCGCCTGTCACGCTCCGTCGCCGCTCCTGAGACAACGGAACGTAATTTTGACAAACGGCTTCGCCGCCGGTAATCGGTTTGCCGGACGATCGTCGCCATCGATTAGAGAAGACAACGCGCTGCTCCGGTGCACGCTCAGCGAAACGCAGACCGGCGCCGGCCGACGCGGCGCGCGTGGGCCGCGGCCCGGGGCGAATTCCGCTCTGCTCAATGTGGAACACTCGACCGGGTCTGACCGCTGGGTCATATATGCCAAATGGGGAATGACTTAGTTTCGAGGTACTGAGCTCCGGGTTCGGGCTCTGGACGTCTGAGCCCACTTGGCTTCCTTCTCGAAGTCAATCTCGTCATCAATATCGTCATTTCGTCGTCAAATCTCGTCAATGAAGACTGTCCCCTTGGTGACGATTTGACGAGCCAAGTCATAAGTGGCGTTTGTGTTCGAAAGTCTCCGGCGAGACATTTCCAAACTTAAGTCATTGATAGTCAAGTGGTGATTCACGCTAGTTGCAGGCTTTGTTACAGTTTGATAGCAGCTCGCGATGCATTCGGTGATAACTCCAGCAATGTAAAGACACCAGCAAGGTCCCATACTGAGCGAACACTAAGAGAGTTAGCTGCTTTTTACACAGACGCTTCACGCCCAGATTCAGTGGGCATACTTCCCACGGCTACCGGTAGCCCTAAAGGCTATCCCTAGGGCTAACAATCATGCCTTCCTTAAGCAAAACGTGGTATCACTTGCTGGGCTTCTAAACTATTTTCCTTGAGATCTAGGTCAGGACGTTTGGACCAACTTTCAATGGTCCCCAATGCTTTCCAGGCGCAGAGCCATTTTGGCATTTCTGTGGTCTGGACCTCGGTAAGCTGCGGAGGACTGCATCGCTTCGGTGTCATCTTTGGATTTAAGATTGCTATAAGGCAGACTGGGCTCGGTCAATCAAATCCGTATGGCTAGGCGTATGGTCTCTGGGCACTGCTTTTACGCGTAATAGCAATACTGCGTCATCTTCATCGTAAAATACTATCCAGCTTGCAGCATCCTCCAGTACACAAGCCAACCCTGCTCTTGGTCTATCTCACGCATCGCTGCCCAGTGCATCAGAGAGACGTCAGCTAGGGGAAGCAAAGCACTCAATAAGTCAAACCTCTAAGGTCATCCATGACTTCAAAGCTATAGATTCATTCTCCGCAGCCGCGGCCGAAGCCGTCTTAGCCAGTGAGGCGCAGCATATAGCGCAATAACATCTCACTGAATTGGCAGCCCTACGCTGGCCGTCGAATAAACAGTGGGTTGGCCGAAGTGCGTCGATGGATGGTTGCGCCGCTCCCCCTACCCCTCCCCTCCCCCTTCAGACAAAGACAGCCCGCGCGATCGCCTCGTGATGGCCGCTCCAGCCGCGCCGTTTTTGTCGTCAGCGCCGATTGATCGCACCCCAGCGTGACGAACTCGCCGCGTGGCGGCGGGCCGGCGGGGAAAGTGGCGCAGCGTGGCGCTAATGACGCGGCAGCGCGGCCGTCAAATAGGCCGGCCGGCTGAGCATGGCTGGCGCGTCGTCCCAGCTGGACGGCAGGGTGGGTCCGGTATTCCAGCGTATGTGTCCGCATGTGAACGTCAGACGACCACCAGCGGACCTAGACTCGCGCTCGTCGTGACGCCCCGGCGCTTTTCCTGAACTGATGGCCCAGTGCGCCATACATTTTGAGCAGACAGTCCCTTCAATAAGGGTGGCATTTCCTTAGACGACTTATTTGCATGTGAGCTATGTGAGCTATCCAGAGGTCATAGCACACTTCTTTGACAAAATGTCTCACGCACCGCCCTCAAATCGCGTGTGAACCAAGCCTTCCCGTGTCTCTTTTTTACCTGTTTTAGAGGTCGATCCACATGTGAATTGCTGCGGGTGAAAACAGTGCGCGGGTGGTATGGGGCTGTGTTTGTTATTTTGTCATCGAACTACTGTTGTTTTGATGTCAAGCTGATGTTGAACGCTGTTTACCCTTGGACTGCATCGAACACACAGGGCCTTTGTTTCCTTTAGAAGTTTGAGCTGGAGTGAGAATCACAATTTCTACCAATTCCCTTTGCATATTTACCGAAAGAGTACACGGGGCTGCCACATAATGAATTTATGGGCATCACGCAATAAGGTGTTCGGACGTTCTCACTCAAATAACGGTGCTCATACTTTGGCCGGCTACAGGGGATCACGAATACAGTTCTCAAGGGCGAAAAATCTGTCAGCCACCATGTTCTCAACTGCCCATGACACGTGGGTACCTGTCTTGTCAATAAAGTTTCCCATGCATCGCTCCTTTTACTCAAGACAAACGCGAGGGGGATACTGCGACACGGGTGGCGCGGTCCCGCGAGGGTCCTCCGTCCGGCGGGACGCTGGCTCAGACGAGCGCGGGGTGACGTTCGCGTCACGCCCGCGACGCCGACCTTTGGGACGGGATGCCCGTCACGTACGTGATGTGGGTCTCGATATCGGTGGCTGCAGACCCCACAGCTTCGAGCGGCGACGTGCGCAGCCAGACGGGTGCGACAGGGCACTGGCGGGTCTGACCTGTCCTGTGAGAGGGAAGGCACCGGATGTGCTGCGGCGACGGCCGCTACGGTTTGCTGACGGTGGTCAGCTTGGCGTGACGGTTCCCTGACGGTGGTCAGCTTGGCGTGACGGTTCCCTGACGGTGGTCAGCTGGCGCGACGATTCCCTGACGGTGGTCAGCTTGGCGTGACGGTTCCCTGACGGTGGTCAGCTGGCGACGACGATTCCCTGACGGTGGTCAGCTGGGCGCGACGATTCCCTGACGGTGGTCAGCTTGGCGTGACGGATTCCCTGACGGTGGTCAGCTGGCGTGACGATTCCCTGACGGTGGTCAGTTGGCGTGACGTTCCCTGACGGTGGTCAGCTGGGCGTGACGGTCCCTGACGGTGGTCAGCTTGGCGTGACGATTCCCTGACGGTGGTCAGCTGGGCGACGATTCCCTGACGGTGGTCAGCTGGCGTGACGGTTCCCTGACGGTGGTCAGCTGGGCGCGACGATTCCCTGACGGTGGTCAGCTGGGCGCGACGATTCCCTGACGGTGGTCAGCTTGGCGTGAGATAAACAATTCCACGAAGCCATGCGGAAATTAAACTTTTCGGAAAGCCAACTGTTTCAGCTTTGCGTAACAGTGTAAACGACATCATGCTTCCTAGAAAGATGATAGTTAAACATCCGTATTCTTTATTTTGAGCACATTTGCATGTGTTTTGTTTAAGCGCACACTTTTGTGGCATCGCTCCATTGATATGGCAGTGTCGACCCTGCTCGCACGATCGGTGGATTCGTTTTGCCGTCCGCCGCCCGCACCGGCCGTAGATCGCCGTGCAGTGCCCCTACAAAACCGTCGCTTCTCACAAACCAGGAATGTCAAAGTCACGTTTTTGATGTCACACGCGCGCAATAAATGCCCAAAGACTGTTTAAAACGTGGCCGCGGTTACTCAGTATGCCAGAAAGGCATTCTTAGACAACTTTAGAGGGCTTGATGCAAACCTCCCCCCCTACCAGGGTGAGGGTTTCAATGCGCCGAATGGAGCGGGCAAGAGTTCAGGCCTGTCATCTGTCTTCTTTTAATTTTCTTGGGAAGAAAGATAGCATTGACCATGTACTCAACGATCGAACGGGCTCTGACCGGCCTCGGCTGGCGTCGCCGGAAGGACGATAAGACGGCACGCCTTAGGGACTCAGGAACCAGGGACGCTTTGGGGCTCTCCAGGGACGCCGGCCAGGGATCGGTCAGACACTGGCCGGCCAGGGGCCCACATCCTCCGAGAGTCGGGATCAATAACCCCGTCCAGTGTCGTCAGCGATGCCCGCTAACAGTGCCTGCCGCTCGCCGGGTGCGACTGAACAAGTAAATAATTGCAGTGCCCTGTCCGGGTCATAAATCCCGATGAAACATCGCTTCGTAATATTGGTCGTTTGTTGCATTGCTTCCGTCAGCATGTACGAACATCTGTTGCATCCTTTCTCTGCACGATTAACCATTCGCGGCTCGCGTCAATATACCGTGTTGTTAGATGTGAACCACACTGACTTTGCCTCGTCAAAACCAAACTTGCTTTATATGTGCCTCGACAGAGCCAAACTTACTTGAGCTGGAGGCATGCAATATGCCGGGTTAGAACTTCAAGGGTATCCCACTTTCAAACATACTACATACACGTAACAGCGGTCTGCCACTGCATCTATTGTGACCCAGACACATGTCCGGATTTCACGAATTCTATTGGCAGCCTATCGCAGCCAAAATTTCCTGGCCAAAGTTGGGGAAAGCTCGGTCAAGTCCCGAGCACTGTTCGCCGCGCTGATGCATTTTACAGCCGCATGGAGGTGGCTCTCTGCTATGGGACCCCTCCCACGCGGCCACAGTGGGCCACGGCTGAGCCTGCAGAGCGAGCTGTGCCTGCAGGGACGGAGCCGGCCGCTTGGTGCAGGGCACCCGGGGTGTCGCGGGACAGTGAATAGCGGGGAGGGAAGGGGGGAGGG